CCCAATAGCTTTAACATTGCACATTCAAGCCGAAACCCTAAACCCTAATCCCCATACCCTAAACCCCAAACGCATACACTTCCCACTGCAGGGTCCTGGGTCAATTTGGTTGAAAATACTACCCTCTTAGCTACAAAAGTGCAGGAAGGACAGATGTTGCTGGCCGCCAAGTGTCTGCTACATGCCTGAGTAGAGCTTTTGGGCATTTAGGGTTCAGGGTTTAGCGGGGGGGGGGGGTCTTCTGTAGATGAAACGAAATGAAAGCAGAGTTATAGTTAGTCTCCTCTTCTGCAGGAGTACCTTTTCAGCCTCCTCGTGTTCGGCTGCTTGGCTGAACATGATGCCTGAAGCTTGGGTTAGCGATTCCTACCTGTAGTCCTCCTTAAGTAGATAGAATATGGCTTTGGGTACATCATAACAAGATCCCCATATACCCCATATTCTATCTACTTAAGCAGGACTATCTTCCTATTCAAACCGAAAGATTCGGCGCTTGAATCCCTGGATTTTTTGATTGCTGAATGCAATTCAGCAGTATTCTCAGGACTGAATTTGGATTTGCATCTGCTGGGCTTGCTTCAGCTTTGAAGACATTGGAATCTCACCCCGGACAGGAGCAAGCCTCGGGTGGAATCCACGATAACTCAGTGAAGATTTGATTGGTGGGGCTATGATGTGTACCTAAGACGTAGCTTCTGTATACGTCCAGGTTTCCAGCAAAGCCCATGCCCATTCAGCTGAAGCCCACTTCGAACAAGATCGTAGCCGCCTCGAAAGAAATCTAAGGTACAACCTAAACAAAGTACCGCCAGACGTATTCAGGGCTTAGGGTAGCGTAGTGAAGAATCAAATTGGAAAAGAACATGGAAAATACAATGGGAACTAGCTTATATAGGGATTATATGGGCTGTTTTTTTCCCCAATGGTGGAGAATCAATTGTAGGAGACAGCTGCAGATGAAATGTTGAGGGCGAGGGCAATCCTTGCCCTGACATGCTGCCCTCGGGCCTTCAAGTGATTGTTTCTAGAAGTTAGGTATTCTTTTTTTAATTTTTTTTTAAAAATGGGGGGGGGGTCGTCAGAATAGAACATCATAGTGTCGTGGCATGTATACTGTTCTGGCAGTTGCAGTTGTGACGACGGGGACGTAGGTAGTAGAAACTAGGTTATTCCACTTATTACACGGCCTCTAGGGGTTATAAGTATACTTACCAAGTCCGCTGACTCTTTAAGTATACCCGCCGAAGCGAAGGCTAGAAAATGAGATGTTGGTATCCAGCCTACACCCACCTGAGTAGTAGTTTATTTGGGGATACTATTGTAACCAATATAGAGTAAGATTATATCCTCCTTTTGGGTATAGTATTTTATATAAGAATATAATCTTACTAGGTCCAACCACCAAAAAAATTACTCACCTGCGTTTGACTCAGCCTACAGGATCCCTCTCTATGGAGTTTAGGAGTGTTGAGTTTTTGGCACAAATAAATGTGTCTATGTATATGTATATATATATAAATAGGTATATACGTGTGCATATATATATATACATAGAAGTAGAGGGTTTAGGAGTGTTGGGTTCTTGGTACAGACATATATGCATACATACATAGATATAGTCATATAGATACACGCATATAGGGCAGTATCAAAACATGGGGACCTCATTTTGGGGACTCTGTGTTGATGATTACGCTGCTGTTTTGGAGTATGTCAGGGGAACACCTACTTTGCAACCCGCCATGTGTGCATAGGGAGGTTTGCAGTCTCCCTTAAGTATATGGGCTATGGGGGATCTTATTATGATTTGGGTCAAGTCTCATTCTACCTACTTTAGGGGGCCTATAACCTCAAACCCTTAAAGTTATATTCTATCTACGTACTCAAGGGGGACCCCTGATCCCTTAACCCTAAACCGCAAGGGGGACTGTAGGGCAAGAGGCTGACTTGGCAAAGGTTCTCCGATCATGGTTGGCCTCTTTTTCATGCTCGTCTGGCAGGCACCTTTTTCTTAAGAATGGGTTTAGGGGTTTTAGGGATAGAGCTTTAGGGGTTTAGGGAGTTTAGGGTTTAGGGAAGAGGCCGCTTGTCAGACAGTGTTTGCAGTTGTGCTGCTACCATCCATAGATAGGCTCATATAGACGGCAACAGCATCTTATGTCTGCGGAACATATGGAGTACTACGGTTGATGTTAAAAATCCTGCATGACCCTAAGTACCGTAAACATTGGGAATTATGGTACTAGAGTATTTATTTTAAGATCATGCTGGATTGTTAGTATCAACCGTAGGTGTGGGTGGGTGTGGTTACCATTAGCTTGAAGGGATTAGTTCCCAATGGCATTCACTCATTAGCCCGGCGAGGCTAGAACAGGGATCATAGAAATTCTCCCAGAATCGAATATTATCGAGACATCGTCGTGGTTCATCCCTACTGATCACAGTTGGTTAAGGCTTTGGTATTTTTACTTTGCTAGACCCCAATCCCCAGATCGTACTGCTAAATCCTGATCCGTTCAAATTACTCCCCTTTGAATCATAAAATGCATTCGGTGCAATTCCTCAAGCTCAAAACCTAATGTTTTGCAGATCTGCTGCTGCACCGCCATGTGCCGGTGCTGCCGACGGTGTGCCTTGACCTTCAGGTTTCGAGCTGTGAGCTTGTGAATCTGAATTTGTTTGTAAAACCTTCTCACGCCTAGAAGATGAGCAGGCTACGAAAGTCTTGAAATGCTAGCCATCGCATAACAAGCGGACTACAGCTCAATCTTACACCTCAACCCTAAGACTCAGCAAGTCTCAACACCTTGAAGCCAAGTGGTAACTGTTACGAACATGTTAGTGGCCTGCACAACCCAACCTAACAGCGCCCCTGCATACTTCAGATGTCCAATCTGCACAGCGAGCATCTCATAAACTCATGAGCTGTGAGCCCGAAATCTGCAAATGAAAGAGAATCCCCCACTTCAACTGCCTGACGAAACGATTCCTTGCAATCCACGGCTTCTTTTTCTCGTTCCGCACCTTCAACGGCAGCAGCATCGAATGATCAGGTCAGCCCCTCATGTGTTTGCCAAGTTACTTTCCCAGTTCTGTTGACAGCCTGTGCTGCATGCGAGCAGTGTGACAGATAGATGAGCACAGCACTTGTTGCTTGCTGCAGCATCTTGCACAGAGCATCTCAAAGCCTGCGGCGAAGTCGTCTGCAGCAGTGCCACTGCAATGGAGGATGCGTCTAAGGCGCTCAAAGCTGCTTTGGTGATTGCTGCCATTTTCGTCGTTAACCCAGTGCTGGGTCTTGGGCTTTTTGGTGTCGCTGCGATTGCCTGCGGGGCCAAGCGCGACGTTCTTCGAGGTGCTTTGGTCTTAGCTGCTTATTTCGCTGTCTACCCCGTAGTGGGATTCTGGCTGATGGTTCTTGGTGTGGTCGCCAGATTTCTCCCGAAGGAGCCCGCAGACGAGGCGCAGCAGAAGTCGGACACAGCCAAAGGTAAGAAGACCGCTCATGACTGTGAGGCCGCATTTTTTTAAAGCCCCTGTCCTTTACAATCTTAAGCACAGAAGTGCAGATGGAACCGCATAGAAGGCATGCCGGAAAGCCAATTGCCAGGCAGGCGTCCTTTGAACTGTGCACAGAACTTGCTTTGGCAGGGGTGGCTTCACGACAGTGATTATGCGGATGCCGAACAAAAAGAGTTGTCCTGAGAGTGCAGGGGTGTTGTTTTATAGTCCTTGATGCAAGCGAGGAGTGCATCAAGCAATGCGTCCCCTGCACCCCGGACCGTTATCGGAAGTCCACAACACGACAGGTGAAGAAGCAGGAGCTTCAAGGAGGTACGCCCAGCTGTCGTGATCTTGAGATGAGTTGATGCTATGCTACGTTTCAACTTGGAATCCGCTCGCCGTAGGTGCATCGAGACCCGCGTCATCCATGATCCGTGGTTTCCGAGCCATTGAGTTCCACAGAGCTGAGTATGTTGCCGTCTTCTACCTCTTGGAGCACCTTGAGTGGTTCCTGCTGATACCCGAACCCTATATAAGCTTACAGGTATCTAGAAGACAAGCAAGCCGAAACGCAAGCACGCAGTCCTGAGCCAAACGAGCCTGATTCGGAGAGCGCACAACATGCAGTGGGTAATGCAACGGGTCTTGCTTCAAACGCAGCCGCGCGAAAGCTCGCACAGCTCGGCAAGGTGATTCGTTCGATAGCGCTAGAAGCCAAACATGCATCACCGTACGAAACAGGAGTCGGACGTGTAGGACGCACCCACTGAAACATCCACTCAGCAGTTTTGTGAGAAGCGCGGCGCCATCTATCTACCCTAACTATCAGGGTTGGATCTTGTTGTGGGGACCCTGCACATATGTTCAAATAAGTCCTATAAGATTTGAGGCGTAGATTTTTCGGGGAGTGATGTCATGTTGGCAAGAGTTTTCTGCACATTTTAAAGGCACCGTGCAGCCCAACCTCCGCAGAGGCAATGTTACCAAGTGTTCGCGACTAGCAACCATCCCCAGGGATCCAAGTATGCTAATTTTCTTTTTTCTAATGATACCTAATTACATTGAGCCTTACAGTCTATAGATAGTAGCTACATGGAGCTTTAGGGTCCCCATTGCAAATTGCTTCTGTCAAGCTTGAGGCAGAGGTCAAGACAACGCAATGGCAATCTCAAACGCGCCAGTAGAAATTCGACAAGCCGCCCAATTCGCTTCCGCAACTCACAAGCCCAACAAGTGGCAATCCGTGCACATCAAGATCTTCTTGGCGCCGACGTTCAACAAGAGCAGCATCGAATGGTCAGGTCAGCCCTCCATGTGTTTTCCTGCCAAGGGAGTGTGTGCTTTTTTCAAGTTCCTTGTCCTGCTTCGTTGAGAGTACACTTACATCTCATGCGCCCAAGCAGTACGACTAGCAGACAAGCGCTGCGCTTGCCGCAGCATTTTGCACATAGCATCGCAAAGCCAGCAGTAAGGTAGTCTGCGGCAGTGCCACTGCAATGGTGGATGCGTCAAGAGCGCTCAAAGCTGCTTTGGTGATTGCTGCCATTTTCGCCGTAAACCCAGTGCTGGGTCTTGGGCTTTTTGGTGTCGCTGCGATTGCATTCGGGGCCAAGCGAGACGTTCTTCGAGGTGCTTTGGTCTTAGCTGCTTATTTCGCTGTCTACCCGATCATGGGTTTCTGGCTTATGGCCGTTGGGGCAGTCGCCAGATTTTTCCAGAAAGAGCCGGGAAAAGAGCCGCAGGAGAGCGACAAGTCTGCTAAGCTGAATGATGAAACGACCTATGACTGTGAGGCGGCCCAGCGCAAGTACCGGCCCATGTTGGTTCAGTACGTGCTCTCACCCGGGCGCACGCATTACCAGTCTGAGAACAAGGCATAAGCCCATGTACTTCTTATCTTAATCCATGTTATGCATGTGTACACGCATAGAAAGCATGCCGGAAAGCCAATTGCCAAGCAGGCATCTTTTCAACTTTGCACAGGGCTTGCTTTGGCAGGGGTGGCTTCGCGACAGAGTTTATGTGCATGCCAGACAAAATGGCTGAGTCTGAGGGCATCAAGCGACGAAACCTTCATACCTGTCCCCCGCACTCTGAATCCTATCGCAAGTCCACAACACGACAGGTGAAGAAGCAGGAGCTTCAAGGAGGTACGCCCAGCTGTCGTGATCTTGAGATGAGTTGATGCTATGCTACGTTTCAACTTGGAATCCGCTCGCCGTAGGTGCATCGAGACCCGCGTCATCCATGATCCGTGGTTTCCGAGCCATTGAGTTCCACAGAGCTGAGTATGTTGCCGTCTTCTACCTCTTGGAGCACCTTGAGTGGTTCCTGCTGATACCCGAACCCTATATAAGCTTACAGGTATCTAGAAGACAAGCAAGCCGAAACGCAAGCACGCAGTCCTGAGCCAAACGAGCCTGATTCGGAGAGCGCACAACATGCAGTGGGTAATGCAACGGGTCTTGCTTCAAACGCAGCCGCGCGAAAGCTCGCACAGCTCGGCTTGGTACTTTAAGTTCCAAGGTATAGGTCACACCCGTTTAAACATTTGCAGGGACAAGATAAACGCAAGGAAACACATGTAACAACATTGAGACAATTTCCTCGCCAAATTGGTGTGGATCTCGACTTTGCAAATGAACGATTCAGAGGCGGCGGTTTGTTGAAGTCTCGGGAGGGAATTACGTTTGTAAAAACACACATAGGCTATTGTATGGCCATAGTTTTCATGCTTTCCGCATCCATCTATCACTCGTTTAACTCCCTGTTGACCAGAGCTTGGCCTCTTCACCGAACATAATTAGTTGTGTCATGGTTCCTTCGCCGGGTACTTATGCCTCAAGTCTTGGGCTTCATGTCCACATAAGAAATTCAGATCTTCATGGTGTCGCGACATTGGTGCCGCAGCTGCTTGAGACTTCACCAGCAGCATCTTGACAAGAGGGGGTGTCCTTCACAGCGAGCTCTTGCACAAATTGAGCTATATTGGGGTTGTCCAGGCTCTATGGTTCATTTTCCCGTAGGCCTCAAAAAAGCATCTGCAACTCCATCTGCATTGATGCTGCTGACTCATTTTCTCAGGCGTTTTGCCTGTATGGAATTCAGAGAAGCTGATGCCCGCTCTTTCTACAGAATTCCTTTCTCCCTTCAGAACCCTTACTTCAATCTCAGACTCTTCTGTGAGGTCGGCTGCAAGGCTTGGAGGAGTTTGACTGTGTCCTTTTAGTGGCTGAACTCGCGCCGTTGCTAGTGCAAGTTAACAACCCAAGAAGAAGCTGCCCACGTCTCGTTGCTCCGTTTGAATACAACCATTCTGGAAACAAAAAGCGCTTGCGGTAGCTTACGTTTTCAGAGCTTTTGCTTACGACATGGTTTTGTGGTTGTTGTTTTTGCTCACGCCGCTTACGCTGGCTAACCGACCACAACAACAGAAGCAACAGAAGCAGCTTACGACGCTGATGACAGCTAATGTGTTTGGGATAGCTTACGAAACACTGCGTTTTGCTTACGCCAAACCTGGTTTCTGGAAGCCCTGGTCTTATCTGAGGAAGGAAAGTTTTGATCTCCGCTTCAGTTCTTTTTGGCAGTCGCAAAGATGGACGGTAGACCCCTTTGACGACGGCCGCTTAAACAGTCACATTGTGAATCAGCTTGCGCAGGAACACAAAATAGATTACCCTCACTTAAGACATCGCATCAAATCTGTGCTCAACGTTAAGAAAGCCTTGATTTGACTGGTGCGGAAGAGTTGTCAGTTCTGCACATGCGTTTTGCCCTATTAAGCCTTGCTTATGCTCCCCTGCTTGTCCAATCACTTTGTCCTGCACTCGGTGGAAACGTAGCGATTGCTCGCAGGACGAACAGAACACTTTAGCAGGGTCCTCAACAAAAAGTTTCGTCACCTGCTGTTCGACAGCTCTCACAGCCGCTGGTCCCACGTTTGAGTAGCTCGCGGTCAGGGCCCCACAGATCCCCAAAATCCAGGCCTTCATAATTTTTGCGCTCCACGTGCTTGTTAGGTTCACAGGGCGTTCTTGGCAGTGCCAAGCGAAAATTTGCTAGGGCAAAGACACTCCACTGCTTTCTTAATTCAATGTGGTTTGAAGTTGCGCATTTCGCTGGAGTCTTTCATGATGGTGGTTCCTTGGCATGCGTTTGCGTTCATGCTCGTTGCGGTGCTTCTTGCTTGGTTTCACGTGTGTAGTTTGAACCACTTTGAGCTACTTAGGCCATGGCTCCAAACGAGATTGTCTTCTTATCTTCCCAGACAGCCTGGTTACTGGATTCTGTATGTTTAGCTTGAAGGCTGTTGGCCGTTTTGCCGGCCACGATTATCAGCTGCACCTCGTTCTCATTGAATATTTCTTCCACTCCCGCGATAATTTCATTGTGTCTTCTGAGCATCTTCATCTTCATCTTCAGTGGATGCAGGCTTGCGCCATCTTCGAAGACTGAATCAACTGACCCTTCCATCACGTGGAACGGAACTCTGAGTTTCAGGGGTAGAGAGCTGTGGCCAGGATAGACACAAACGCGTGCAGATGCCAAGGCACCCTTTGTTCTTGATTGTTTTAGGTTTTGGCGAAGCAAGGCGGCGCGAGGCACTTCTGCTTGATCACAGTCGCACGGCCTCGGAGAAGGAGGAACAAATCTCCAAATGACTTGTGCATGGGATGACCACTGAAGCTGTGCCCGAAGTGTCCCAGACGAGCAGCCGCAGTTCCTATGCAGTGCGGTCCTGTAGTCCTGCTGCACCATGCATGCGATTTTCCGTTTCCCAGAACGCTCAAGGCGACATCCCCCGCCCAGTTTGGTTACAAATGAAGGGCTTAATTTGGCTGCACCCCAGGCTGCTTATGTGCAGAGCGGAAAGCCCCCCACGGCGTGCGGTTGTGGCAGCCACTTGGCCAAACATTGCCCTTGCTCCCTTCAGAAACCAAAATCTGAAGTCTGCGGCCCTTTGCTGTGCAACCCTTCCACAACCCCAGACCCCAAGACATTCTAGAGCCGGCAGTGCGATGCGCGTGTGGAAAACATTCTGGAGCCAGGAAGATGTCACTGGCTTGCCTGGACGCTCGGCTTGATTACGAATCCCCTTGCCATCCACCATTTCACACCCTAGTGTCAAATACCAAGGCAGGCGCCAGAGAGTTTAGGAGAGGCATATTCCGTATCAGGTTTGGCTGGCTGATTATTCCAGCGGCCAACGGATAAACACCTGTTGTTTGTAATCCCAGCATACAGGCCCCCGTGTACACGGCAACCTAACTCTGAAGTCAAACTCTTCTTCGGTGATTTAAAAAACACAACACAGTGCATAGACTGACCTCTGAGCGGGATTGTTGCCTTGCGCTGCCTCACAGCCATGCAAGCGGCAAAAACTCCATGAGCAGAATCAGCATCTGCATAGATTTCTGGTCTTGACGGGGTTAGCATTTTCAGGCGGCTGCATATCATTGCAAAGCGGGTCGTGTTTTGTGGTATCTTGAGAAATGGCCGCATCATCTCTAAGGAGGGTATGCGGTTATGTGGGTAGCAATAGTAAGAATGGCACTTTTCGAGTGGAACACGCGGTAGTCGTTTAGGCCTGTAAGTGTTCGTTCTAGCCTCAACCAGTGAGTAAGAAGAATAGTAATAGTAACAATAGTAACAACTATAATCGTAATAACAGTAGTTATCATAATAGTAGGAAACAATAGTAACGAGCAAGCCTGCTGATTGCTCTTTCCACTGGCCATGTAGCCAAGATGCTATCACACACACTAGCACTGTAACCTCCTTGAGGTAGAGCGCACTGGATGAAAATGTGAGGCAAAATCTTACTCGTTCTTTCGTGGACTTTAGGACTGAAGATGTGTTAGGCTTAAAAAGTTTGTCGTGCCCGGGACTTTTGTGTTTTGATGCCAAACTTTTTGATTTCTCACCCGGCCCATATTTGGTACGTATAGTCTCAGCCGCCCCCGTCATGCCTTAGGTCCCCATTGGCATCGTTGCTCCTCGGCCATTTTCGGTTGGTAGCGGAGGTCATGCTTTTCCGGAACATGCCGGTGTTTGCAAGCTTCTTTGTCCTGGGCGAAGGGCTTCACGGCCTTCTTCATGCAAAGTGCTTTAGATTATGGCTATAATGGAAAATAAAATGGAAACTATTGTAGTTTATTGGGGATAAGAAAGATTGCCCAAGGGCTCTCCTCCGGAATGGAATCCCGTAGCCATTGCTTTATCCATTGTTAGTACTATTTTTACTATTATGAAACCTGCCAGCCTTTGGGCTCCAGACCATAGTGCCTTAGACTTGGCACGGCGTACTTGTCCTGCAGTCGTCTGATGAAGCCCACTCGCCTAATCATCTCCTATTACTCTTTCTTCCTGGCGGATTTTGAGCCCAACCAAAAACACCCTAAACCCCAAACATGTTGGGCTCAGCCGCGTTGCTACAACCAGCGCTGTGATCTGCTTGGTGCTACAGCGCTGTCCAGCCCTTCTTTCCGTCATTCTGTCCAATTATGCGTCCACTAGACGCTGATGAATACAGCTCAGGGTCCAAGTGCCTCTATCATGTGTATGTACAAACCACTTAGCACCAAATTACTGGCTATTCAGGTGCTTGGACCCTTCGGATACACCCAAACCCCTCAAACCAAAGCTGTTGCCCAGGCGGGGGTGGCAGCCGTCTTCGTAGTCTACACCCGGCCACGGCCTCTGACATTAAGGTAGGCAAGCCTTTAACATATTATCTCCAGGTTATACCTTAGTTACCCCAGAATTACCGTCATAGATAATAGATATCTCGCCTGGTCTTTGATATAATGCCTACCATGTCCGTCATGTTTGCGTCGTCGGGGTAGATCAATTAGCTTTCATGGTTGCGGGCTTATAT